CACAGCCCACTTCCGACGTGAAGTGCGGGTGTAGATGATATGAAGGACTCCTGAGAAGGCAAATCTAGGGACCCCAGGGCACAGGCCAAGGGAGGTCCCCTGATCCTGCCTGAGATCAGAACCAGCGTCTAATCGAGGAACCTCTCCCATGGCCACTCGAGGGGTTCCTGGCCACTCCTGTCCCGCAGAGCTCCCTTAGGGACGGGCGTCTGCCGCGTGTCCCCACGGGAGCCGGGATGGCTGCCCAGCCAGAGGCCATAGCCCGACTCCGCCACCGCACGCGGCCATCACACCCAGGTCTCCCCCCCGGGGCTGTGTGTCACCCCTGCCGCGCTGGCTTGAGAGCCCGTGTCTAGCCTGGACCGCTGTTCCTTTATCCCCTTCCTGGTGGCTGGCGTGGCGACGGGGAGGGTGGGGCGGAAGCCACGCGGTGAGGCTGGCGGGGCCATCAGCCCAGCCCGAGGGACTCTGTGGACACGGGAGCGCCCACTCCAGAAAACTTAGGAGTATTCTCCCCGGACTGGCGCGAGCGTAAGAAGACCCTATTTTGTTGAGCACTGGCTGCGCTTTGGGGTCCTTTTTAAAAAGACAAAACAGAAAGAAACTGGTGTCAAGGAGTGAGAACTGGTCTCAATTTCAAGGGTTGAGAAACGAATACTTTTCTTTTGGTGCGATTCAAGGTTCTCTACGCCTATACCGCTTGGCACCTAAGGCCACACCAGGCAAGGAGCAGCAGACACACGCACCCAGGGGGCGCACGGCCTGAACAACCCGGAGAGAGAGGTCTGTGCAGATACAACACAGTACAAGATGGCAGCCTTCCTTCAATATCGAATCACCAGCAATTATAAGGGAGGTATTTTTTAAATTTCCAAGTAAAGTTGAGAAGCAAGAACGAACACTACCGGCAGATGAAAAATTACGAAGAATAGGAGGGTAATCTGAGAGCTGGAAAGTGGCAGAAATTAAACTTACGATGGTTCCCAAGGAGGGACGCCCCAGAAGTGGCCCCAAAGACCAGAGTCCGTGCAAACAGGAAGCTGGGTGACCGGCTGGCCTTCTGGGAAAAGAGGCCCGGGGAAGTCCTCCCTTCCTGGCTTTGTACCAAGCACCTGGGAGCCCAGGCATCTGCCTCCAGGAAGGAGTAGTGAGTGCAGGGACCTGAACAGAAAGGGCGCTGCTGTGGGGATGCAAACACCCTCGAAACCGGAAAGCAGTACCTCGCTCAGTAGACCATCCCTTAGTCCCCTCACAGCCGGGGGAGGGAGGCCGCAGCAACAGACACGGCACTATGGGCAAGCCAACACGAAATCCCAAATAAAAGGCTGTGCAGAGAGCCAAGAACATCCAATGCTGGATGAGAGACGGCTTCACAAAGCAGACGCCAGACCTCAAGAAACACACAAGGAGGTCAGAATTATCAGAGATGTCACATGGAGTCTTTTAAACGCCTAATTAATATTCTCAAAGGGATATGAGGAATCTAATTACTTGTAAAATTCTATTTTAAAATTTAAAAATTTGAATATTGGGATGTTAAGCAGAATAATAACCATTCCATCCCCACCCCACCTGTAAGATATCTACATCCTAATCCCCCAGAACCAGTAGATTTCCTCCTCACATCGTGGAAGGGAATTTGCAGATGTGATTAAATTACAGATCTGGAGATGGAAAGACAACCCTGAATTACGTGAGTGAGTCCAATTTTATCACAACATAACAGCTTATAAGGGTCCTTATAAGAGGAAGGCAGGAGGGTCAGGGTCAGCGAGAGAGAGATTTTCAATGGAAGAAGAAGTAGATGGTTTTGAAGACCATGTACTGCCGACTTTGAACATAGAACAAGGGGCCACAAGCCAAGGCCAAAGGCCGCCCCTAGAAGGTGGAAGAGACAAGATAAAGGATTCTCCCCCAGAACAAGGAACACTAACACCTTGATTTTGAAGACTTCTGGCCTCCTGAACTGTAAGACAGAGAATAAATATGTGTTACTTTAAGCCACACAGTGTGTGGTAATTTGTTACAGCATCAGCAGGAAGCTAATTCAACTGGAAAAAGAAATTCAATAGATGGGCTAAATAAATGAATGGGTACAGTCAAAGAAAAAAGCTATAAAAGGTGAAATTTCCCCAGAGGCCAGAATGAAAACAGCACAGATACAGAAAGCAAGAAGGAGAAGATGAGCCAAAGATGAAGAGCCAAAAGTTTCAACATCTAATAGGATTTTAAAAAGGAAAAATCAGAGACAAGAGAGAAGACTATTTAAAGCACTAATAATTTTTTCCTGTCATTAAAAATGATACGAATAATCAGATTTAAAGGGTAGAGAACTACTGGGGAGGAGGGGGGAACATAACCAGTCTTCCCATAATTCTGCTAGAACTGCCAGAAGGAAAAGACAACTCCACAACTACACTCAGGGATTCAATACCCCTCCCCTGAAAATTAATAGAAAAGAATAGACAAAATGTGCATAAGGGCACAGGAGACGTGATCAAGAGCCAAAATCAAGAGTCGGATGTTCAACCAGCTGAGCCACCCAGGCGCCCTGAGGAAGAGGGACATTTAAAAAGCCGTGTACGAGAGCTGGAGCCAACCGCAACCCCTTTCCCGACACCAGCCTTCACACTACAACAGGCCAGAGCTTGAGGAGGGAGGACACCTTCCAGTGCAGACCGCACACTGACTATTACACGAGGCAGCTCTGAGGGCCGCGTGTGCCTGCATTCAAACACGCGCGTGGAGGACTGACGTTACCCAAGAGAAACCAGAAAGGTCACGGGCCCACCCATGTCTTCCTCTAGAAGCAGAGGCAACTCCATTGAACATAACGGCAAGGGGCAGAGGGGAGGTACTGTAAGAGTTCTGCAGGGTCAAAGTGACGGTTCCATGAGGAAAGTGGTGACTGAGTAACCTGGTGGGAGGAGGGGGACGTGGGGTGGGGAAGTATACGGGAGGCTGAGCACAGGGAACGAAGTCCTCATCTGTCGTATCAGGAAACCACAGATATTATCCCAAACCAACAAAATCAAGAAGTAGCAACACAAGCATATTGTTTAGAACAATGAAGCTAAATACCCAACAAAGAGCTGAAAGTGCTTCCCTCCGAGAGCAGGAAATGAAGATGGGGAGAAGGTAGAAATGCTTTTCATTAAAGCCCGTGTAGCGCCATTTTCTTTCTAGAACTATATACACATATTAGTCCCGTCATTTTTAGTGATAGTGTTGGAAGAAAACCCAGACCATGTAGCTCCCATGGGCAGGTGTGCTGCAGAGGAGAAGTGTGGGATTCATGGGTGTGTAAGACTTCAAGTTCAGTGTCATACAAGAATCAACTCAAAGTGGATCATGGACTGAACTGTGAAAGTGTGCAATTTTGGGGAAAGAGCACAGAAGAACATCTTCAGGATCTTGGGCTAGTCAAAGAATTCTTAAACTTCACACCAAAAGCATTATCCTAAAAGGAAGAAATGAGAAATTGGACTTCACCGAAATTAAAAACTTTTGATCTATCAAAAACTCTATTAAGAGAATAAAAAGCTACAGAGTGAAAGAAAATATTTGCAAACCCCGTATTCATCAAAGGACTTGTATTTAGAATATATAAAGGACTCTAAAAACACAACTATGGGGCACCTGGCCCCTACTAGTAGGGATAGCATTTGACTCTTGATCTTGGGGTCATGAGTTCGAGCCCCAGGTTGGGCACTGAGATCACTTAAATAAAACTAAAACACACAAAACAAAACAAAACACACACAACAATAAACTGCAGGAAAAAACCTATCAATATCCCCATATGTAAGGAATGCTTATGACTCTATAAGACAAAGTAAGTGACCTAAAGGAAAAGATGAATAAATTACATGAACAGACAACTCAGACATGAGAAAATACAAATGGCAAACTAAAATATAGGAAAAAAAAGTTCAACTTCTTAGTTATTCCAGAAAAGCAAAGGAAGACAGAACACTTTACCCATGAATGCTTGGCAAAAATGGAAGTCGAATAATATGGGTACAGGGAACAGGTATTACTTCACCAATAGTACCATGCCCATTTTGGAAGGTCATTTGGCAATAGCTACCATCATTTATCATGTGTATTCATTCTAACTCAGCAATTCCACTTCCAAGAAAGACTTGCCCATCAGCACATGGAGGCAGATGAAATATATTGCTTTTAACAAGTAACTGGAAATAACCTTCATGTCCACTAATAGGGAAATGGTAATATATAATGGAAACTATGAAGCCATTAAAAAATTGTGGGCTAGAGATAGATATATATGCGTGATGTGGAAATAACGCCAAGAGGTAGCGATCCATTTACTAAAGCAAGATGCAGAAGAATACACCTAGTATGATCTTGTATTTGAGCCACAGAAAATAATCTAAAACTGTGCGTATATAGTGTGGGTGTATACATAAACGTGCATATGAACAGGACAGTGTTCATACCGGATTGTTAACAGCGGCTACATCTAGGGAAGGGACGGGGATGAAGGGCCTGATGACAAGACCCACCAGCATCACTTTTACCACCTGAATGTTGTTTTTCTCTGATGGATCATTTCAGCCAAGAATATATGGGTGTCATTTGTCTAATTAAAAAATAATGATGCAGCGCTTAAGACAGTGCCTAGCTTATAGCAGGTGCTCAACAAACGTTCAAATTTTTCTGAAACTAGGGAAATACTTTGAAAGAGTTAAAAATGTAAATACAGAGGACAATGGAGCATGAAGACTCCATGGCCAAGGTTTTAACAAAGGCAAGAAGTGCTGGAATCCTTCCTGGTGCTGGCTTTCAAAACTTGATAGAAGTATCCAAAACCAGGAAGCAGGAAAAGGGGCACTGGTGGGGTGGAAAGGGGATTCACCGAACAGCCCAAGAAAAAGGCCAGGGTCTCACACCAAATACGGCAACAAGCAGCAGGCAAAAGCTTCCGGCAGCACCTCCTGAAGAGCACACTTAGCAACGCAGAATGGTCTTCTTACCTGTTGTCTTTGCTGATGAGGTGGTGGATACGCCGTTGAGTTCACTGGGACTCCTTTTTACGGGCCGTGGCTTATATTCTCGTTTGGGGACACTGGACGCAGCTGATATTCTGAAATATGCATGTTAAGACCAGTCAGACTTCCGACAAAGAAACCCCAGTCTCTGAGCATGCAGCGGAGGAGTCTAGGAGTCTACGGTGGGGTGATGGTGGTGGTTGTGACGGGGGTAATTTGTGTGCACCGTAGCTCAAAGCAAGAGCTGCGACATCCCCAGTGGAGTTCGTCAACTATGGATCTGCAAGGGGGTGTCCCTCACAGGGTTTCTGAGGCATCGGTCAGGTGCCAGGTTACACTGGGCATTCAATAGCGTTAGCTATAGCGTTCGCTGCCTTTCCTCTCCTTCCGCTCATACAGAGAGAGGATTGTGCGGATGTGCTCATGTGAGCACTGCGTGCAGGCCCAGAGACCGGCCACACCTGTGTCTTCCCTCTGTCATTCTAGCACTGACTTAAGCAAGCATCCCGCATCCCTCCAACTTTTTCCATTATCATCACCCCATATAAAGACAATATTCTGTTATGAAGCCTGGTCATGAATAGGGTAGATCTGTTAACCCATTATTTTAATGAGTGGGGTTACTGTGCATACTACATATGATACTACTAATTTTCAAAGAAGTATAGAACCATCGTCATTAAAGCCTAAGAGACACAGCAGTCTTTTTTTGATCATTCAGAAGGTTATTTCTGACTCTTTCAACACCTCTCAGAGTCAGTAGCATGAACTTGGCCTCACATATGTACTGGTGAGGAAAAAACACATCTTTTACACATTTTCTGCGTCTCATGTCACGCCTCTCTGCATCCCGACGTGTTGGCAAGGAGGTCCGTGCCATCGCCATCCCCAGCTTAAGCTCTCAAACCAGGATGGTCCTGCAGGGTGAGCAAGTCTATCTGGGGGCCCTGAACACAGGTCACGGGAAAGGGCTTCAGTGAACCGAAAAGGGAGAAAAACTGCCAGGCTGCTTTTCCCGGCTCCGCCCACTGGCCAGAGCCGCGTATTTTATTATCTCCGCGCTCTCCCACATCCAATGGCGAAAGCCAGCTAAAGAAAATTCAGAACAGGACGGGGTGGTGCGAAGGGGCAGATGAAGGGCGGACGGAGGGACCGACTCTGACGGGGTTCCACCCTGCAGCCCGGGCTTGTAAGGAACGCAAAGGCTCTCACCGCATCTGTAGCTTGCTCTGGAGCTCCTGCAGAATCTCTGTGGACTGTTTGTGATAGTCCAAAGCTGCCTCTATAAACACAGCCAACTGGCTGACTTGTTCTACCTGCAGCGAAAGGGGAAAATTATTCCAAAGCCTATGTCATGTTCAGAGAGAAGAGAAACCAGCAAGAGAGACCCAGCTTTCCCCGGAGGCCCCCGTGTCTTCCCCGGCTCCGGTCCATTTCATTTCACGTTCATCTTGGAGCCCCGCGTAGTAATAATCACCCAGGCCACGGTGGAGAGCTATACATTCCAGAAAACCATGTTCAGATTTATTTGTGATTAAAATTTGATCTAACTCGATAAAAGCTTGTTTTTCCAATTAGATGATGATACTCTCAGGAGATTTTTTATGCTCTACAGTTCATGCATCTGAAAACAGAGAGATAAAGTGTTTTCCAATTACAAGTGAGGCTGGCATTTAGTAAATGAACTGCTTCCTCAGTGAAACATCTCTGTGGGCATTTTCTAGCTAAGTCAAATCGAGAAGTTCCATAAATTAAGCTGTTCTCACCGAAGAAGGGAAATGAGAGGCAGAGTGTGCAGCAGGGCAAAGACCGGCTTCCTCCCTACGTGGTTTTTGCCATCAGTACAGTATCATTGTCCAGACACATACAGCCACAAGGAATGAACAATACAGCCTCTGGCATCTCTCGTTCCCATGAATCATGACACTCATGAAGTCAGTGACCAAATTACAGTGTATGCAAATAAAAAAAAAAAACTAAAATAAAAAAGCTCCATCACATAAGCAAGCCTGGAAGACCTGGGGAGGCATCATTTTAGGAAGGGATGTCTCCTGCGGGACCTGGGAACCTCCCTGCTCCCCAACGTGTCTGAGCAGCTGCTACACCAAAGCAGGGTTCCTTACGCGGATGTCAGCCAGCCTCAGAGGCGGACCTCTGGGGTGAGGGGATGAGGACCCCTGCATGGGTCCCATGAACTCCAGTGAAGGACGCAAACGAAAATCAACCCCCCACCTTCCAAAGCTTCCCCAAAGCCTAATGCATCACCTCCATGTCCTGAGTAGCTCCGGGGCAAAGACGGCCCTGCTCCTTCACCCCTACATGCTCACCCCAAAACCAGCCAGGGATGCATTCACCTTCAAAGACCCAAGCTGTTCCCGCTTCTGCTCCAGACCATGCCTCAGCTGCCTAGACGTTCACTTTCTTTACCCACGCCCAGCGTTTTAAACACAGGTTCAAGCCCACACTTGAGACGTCCATTCTGCTTGTGCCCCACTGTGATCGGCATCTGAACGAGGAAATCTCGTCGTGTTACACTGACCGCACCACGCTCTGTGGCAGAAAGAGCAACAAGCCTTGGTCTTAAATTTCCCCAAACCCAATACACAAAACAAAGACAGCCAGGCTGCTACAAAATCCTAAGGATCTCTTACATTTCACCTCCTTGGCTTTGATGTTTAAACTGTCTGGTGCCACGGTCTAACGCGACCCCAGCACAACCTGCTGCAGAAGGAAGACTCCCGATGGCAGGAGAGCTGCATGCAGGGTCAAATCTGGGCCATGCCTCCCTGCTTTTAGTAAACTTAGTTTCTATTTCAATCCGCACTTTGAAAGATGTTTGATATCTCTCATTTTCAAAGGAATAAGAGCTAAATGAATATTCCTTGAAACCTATGGGGGGTTGTGTAGGGAGGTGCGGAGGGAAAAGCTACCCTGTCTGGTAGGCTAAAGGAGGTTATGCGATGTAGAGATGTGTCTGGAACTATTCATTCGCAGGCTGACTTTGGGAAGGACAGGAATCCCAAGGCCCCTTAGAACTTGGGAGAGAGCCGTGGGGCGGTCCGTGCCCACATAAGGAGGCGCCCGACACACCTACTGAAGAGGAGGGACCCTGCTGCAAAGTCGCTTACTGACAGCGAAGCCACGTGGTGCCACAAGGGGACTATCTGCCTCTTTGTGCCAAAACAGGGAGGCTTCCGGGCCGTACAAGGCAAGGTGTGCACAGGGGGCCCTGCCTCCCGTCACGCCCAGGTAGAATTAAACACCTAGACAGGCAGAGCCAAGGTGGCGATGAAGCCAGGCTTGCGAGTACCTGTCCAGAAGCTAAAGTGTTTCTTCCACGGGCCACACCACTCAGTCTGGTGAATCCACCTGTTGACTCAGGGAAGGTCACCCGGGATGAGAAAAGAGGTTTAATTCTGCCTCCAGCTGGGGCCTGTGGCCCTGTGCTGGTGTCATCTTGAGAGTAAAGGGTGACCTACACCATGGGAGGGTTTGCACGACACAGATAGAGGAAAACTGCCAGAGAACTGACTCCCGTCTCCGAGTAACGAGGCCCAGCTGTCCAGACAGGGTCACGCCTGGCCAGGCGCAGACTTCCCAGTAAGCCGATGGTGAAGGAAGGGAGGCCACACAACATTCCCCGGGGAAGCAGGACAGAACTGGTGGACAGAAAAACGGCCCACAGGGACATCCAAGCCTGTCTCCCCAAATCTGCGATGATGTCACATTTCTCGGTGAAAGGGACCCTACAGGTGTGAATGAGGTAAGGGACTTGAACTGGGGGGTTAGCTGGATTATCTGGGTGCACCCAGATCATCACAGGGTCCTAGAGGAGGAAGATGGGAGGGTCAGCGTCAAAGCAGGAGGCGCATGAGAGGCAGCACAGTAAGCGTGAAGACGCCTCACGGCGGTGGGCTTTGAATCGGGAGCAGGCACCAGGCTCAGGAAGCAGGAGCCTCTGAAAGGTGGAAAAGGCAAAGAAACGGTGTCACCCTTGCGCGCTCCGGGCGAAACGCAGCGCTGCCGAGGTGCTGATGTGAGGACTTCTGACCCCCCGCCTGTACGACAGCACATCCGTGTTGTCGGAAGGCACCCATGTGTGGTGACTTGTTACAGGAGAAGAGGAAACAGTTGTTTCTGAGCCGCTTTAGACTGCTCTCAAAAGAAGCAAAATCTAGCACAGGGAGTAGCCCTGGCCAGGGTCCCCTGATATGGGGGAGGGGAGCCGTTGCCTTGAGACTTCCAGGAACCCAACTCCATGGGGGATGCGCCCGCGTGGCTGGGCCTGAGGACTTCACAGCTGACCCCACCCCACGCCGTGGTTCCTCGCTCTTTTCTCAGGGGTGAGAGAGTCCATGCATCTCCTGGGTGTCGCCCGTGGGTGCACTCTACTTCAAAACCCTCTTTAGCTGCAAACCAATGGCTGATTATAAGCTGAGGCTGCTGGGGGTTCTGAGCCCTGGGGATGGAGGCAGGGTGTAGACGTCCCCATACTGCTGTGCACTGTGAATACAAGGGGTCCCTTGGGTGGGGGGGTGGCTGGAACCTCAGGGACTCCTAAATGAGATCTGAGCCACTAGGGTGGCCTGTGGGCCAAGTGCAAAGGATTAGGGCTGTCCCCAAAGGAAGAAGGGCTCGAAGGCTGACGCACTGTGATAAGGGTGGCTCTCTACGTTGGGGAGGGATATGGAAACAGGTGGCCACATACAAGTAGGGCTCTGAACTGTCCTCCTCAGGCCCTTCAAAAAGTCAGTTACCGAGGACTGGTTAGCAGCCAGGGCGGTGGGCAGAGGGGCACACTCTGAGGTCCACAGCACGGGCAGAGATACCGGGCAGGAGCGGGTAATGGCCTGCGCCCAGGTCTCAGGAGTCTGCAGTGAGCTGAGTGTGCCTGAATGAGGAAAGGCACCTGTTCTGGAATGTGACAAGCCGGCCCCTTTCACAACCAAAGTGGCATGTTTCCAATGGAGGCTATCTTCAGTAGGAATCGCTATCATCCAAGTGACTTCTTGCTCTGTCGTCTCAAAGACCTCCACTCTTTCCGGATTCCTCAGAGAAGCTGAAGGAGTCTGGTCACAGACAGGTGCCTTTTCCAATGGGGCAAGAGCTTTATTCAGAGCTTCTGAGAAAGTCCGAGCAAGGCAGTTATATCAGTAACCTAGATAATGGCCTCTTACGCTTCTATTCCCAATTTCCAAAGGGTGTCTCGCATGCATCTGTTCTCGTCAGGCCTGGTACCTGTAGGTCAAAGTGACTTTCCAGGGGTAAACAGTTGAGCAGAAGTGAAACCGGAACCGGACCCAGGCCGTTCGCTCCTTGCTGGGTGTGCTTTCTTTCAGTGAGTCCGGTATTTCCTAGTGTTACCTCATGCCCCACGGCACCAGCCCCTTGAAATGACAGCAATAACGATGATGCCCAAACAAGTCTGAGAGACTTCCCAGTGAACCCTGCCTTAGCAGGCTCTTAGAGATTAATTTTTCACACTGTCGTATAAAGACTTGGAAAAGTCTTGTGACAAAAAAACCTGCCCAATTTTGTCTCCACTACCATCCGCCAAACTCATGTGACCACAGAGACATCGTGAGCACCACCCACGACCTCCCACGGCATGAAGGAGGTCATGGGGCAGAGCGGCAAAGGTTGGACATGGGGTTGATGACCTGGAGAGAGCAGGAAATCAGGGGCCGGGGGGTTGCAGACCTGCTGGGCCTGGCCTGGGCGTACATAAGGGTCAAGGGCAGGGCCAAGAGCCCGTGTATGCCTCCTCCCTCTATGCATGGCTTCCCCGGCTTTCCCCACCACGCCACCCACCCGCTGCTGACCCCCGAACACAACCACTTCCACATTAGCACAGCAGTGTCCAAGGGCTGAGCTGGAGAAGACGCCAGACCACCCGGGCACGGCCCAGACACACGGACACAGAGAAGGACAAGACAGTCCCCTTCTGGGTCTGCCTGCTGTTGTCCCAAGAAGAGAAGGAGGGCAGCCTTCTGGAGCTTATGCAGTAACTTGCGGGTCTCCTCAACTATAACCTGGGAAGGGGAAAACGTAAACGCGGGGGTGTCGCGTTGGGGAGACGCCCCCAGCACCCCCGGACGCTCCACCAGGAGCCACTCAGAAAATGGTCCACTTGCCACCATCACTGTCATCAGAACCAGCAACCTCTTCGGCACCACCATCGCCGTTCCCGCAAGAATCGCCAACCTGAGCACCGGGCCCACCACCGCGGGCAAAGCCGGCCACAGGGAGGAGGCCAGAGACAGGGAAGGAGCCTAGTTCCAAGGCGGCCGGAAAGTCCTCAGCCGCCTTAGGACTTCGGTCTCCTCCCACTTCTGTGGCTGGTTTCTGGAAGAAGGCCATCCCCGAAATGAGCCGGCACAGCCGTCGGACCCAGCCCTGAGCTGACAAGCGAGACTCATCTTCAGAGTCCAAATCCACCACGAACAGGCACGGGACTGGAGGGGCAACGTCTGCGATGGCCTGGTGGGGATACGTCCGTCGGACACGTCACACCTCAAAGCCACTTTCTGAACACTTCAAAACATCAAATATAGAAATCTAAAACAAAAGCAAAATTGCCTACTGCTTGGGGACAATCTCAAGGGGAAAGTGAAATTTTTAAGGGAAAATAAACAAGAAAAACAGCCAACTGTTCACACCTCTTCTCATTTCCTGTAAGATGTAAATACCATGGTAAAATATTAAAAGGAGGAACATAATCGAGTGTGCTTTTCAGCACTCAGGTTTAATGGACACAGGATTTTCAAACTGTTATCTCCAGGATTAATGTCTTGTCAACAATGAATATAATAACCCCCCCACCAATGTCACCACGGCAAATAAAAGATGCTCAGTACATTCTATTTGATTTGACTCAAAAGTGCAAGACTTTAACGTACCTTTTGATAAACTATTATATAAGTAGAACATGGTTTTGCAGATAAACAAATCCTCTGACTTGTCCCCACGGGTTTGAAAGCTCAGCAAAAGGGGTCCAAAGCTAAGGCTGGGCCCAAACGACTCATGGCATGAGCAAGGCCGGCGTTAGGGCAGGGGCGCCACAGAGAAGCAGGTGGGAGAAGGCTCTTCCCATCAGGCAGTAACAAATGCCCAAGGACTCATCACCGGGGCAACGAAGGGAGGCCTTCAGCCTTCACAGTGCCTAGTAGGGTGTTACCACGCCCTCAGAGATGCTGAATCTGACTTCACATGGACAAATAAAGTAAAAGCCGGTGGTGGCAATTACAGTACAACAAAATATTAGCATTTCTGAGGGATGTGTGTCCAGACCTTCATCATTCCTGAGTTCACAGGCACCACTATGGTACAGCTGAATGATGTAGGTCACGCGTTTAAATCCTACATGTTCGCGATGACAAGTCAATTCTCATCCTCAAACATCTGCCTCACAGACTGCTTCTCTCAGTCTTAGCAAAACCGCACATTACCGCATGAAGTGGGCTTTGCGTTCCGCGGCACAGTCACAATGCTATGGCCTCAAATACAAAGACTGTCTGCTCTGCAATTCCCCCAAACCATCCCCCTCCCCGGGGCTACCCCGTGCTCCCGGAGCACGTCTCCGGAGCAATCCTGAGATCTGAGGTTTGAGCTGGGACTCGCCAAATGTCTGAAGCAATGTCTGAGGCAGGACATAATGGTTACAGAAAATTCTGGAAGCTTTTGTAAAACTAATGCTCCAGAGCTTCTCAACATGTTGATCCTACTCATATGGTCAGTGTTTTTATTCACATTAAAAGTCTCCTGTTTGGTTTAAATACTTACATCATTTTCTAAAAAATTAAACATGCTTCTTTCAGCCAACTCCTTTGACTCTTCAAATTTTTCTACCGCTTGTCTGACTTCTTCGTCTGGTATCTTACCTACTCGCTTCTTCTTATAATCATAATCCAGGCGGCGACCCTCCAGCTTTTTCAAGTGGTGCTAAAGGAGACAGGGGTCTTTCAGATAATTATACACTCAAAACATGGAGCAAAGAAGCCTTTATTATTTCCATGAATATAGACATTGCTTTTCGTCTAGGGGCAGGGACGCATCTTACACGTCTATGTGTCCCCAGCATCCACTAGAGGCTGCCTTTACTGCAGGTCGTCAAGGAATAGTGAATGGTTGGCTGGCTGGATGGATGGGTGGATAGGTGGGTGAATGGATGGATGATGGGTGAATGGGTGGGTGGCTGGGTGGATGGATGGTGGGAAAATGGGTGGGTGGCTTGGTGGATGGTTGGATGGATGGATGGATGGGCGGGCAGATGGATAAGTGGGTGGATGGAATAGGTGGGTGGATGGATGGATGGGTAGATGGATGGATGGATGGATGGATGGATAGTGGGTGAGTGGGTGGGTGGGGGGATATGGTTGGTTGGATGGAAGAATGTAAGGAAGGGTGGGTGGATAGATGAGTGGATGGATAGACATGTGGATGGCAGAATATATATATGGAACATAAGGACACAGTATCAGCACTCAGATTTCATTTCCCAAAGTTCTTTATAGGGCCCCTCACTTCAGCTCTATGATATAATGTCCAGATAATTTCCAACCAAACTAACTATACCAAAAACAAGCATGTTTCCTTTGGCACTACTGTCAAGTCCTTGCCAAAAAGCAGATTATAAAAGCACAGATTTCTAGTAGCCCCCAGAATACTCTGGCATCTCCCATAAAGTTCCCAAATAATTACAGAACAAGTTGAATAAATGCCGTCGATGAACATGTACATACTGAGAAACAGACACACACAATCTCTGAAACGGTGAGGTTTCTTTAAAAAAAAAAAATAGGACCTTTTTGAAAACGTAACTACTATAAATATTAGACCTGTCCATTCGTGGAGTGGGCTGCCTCATGTGGTAGGAAGTTTCCCATCACAGTTTGTGTTCAAGCAGAGGGATCCCATGTCAGAAATACTGTAGACAGGACAGCTGTATGAGGGATTACACCTCTAATTCTTGGAAAACAGGGATCTGATATCAAATGTACCCACAACAACAGGCCAGCCCAGTGAAGTATGCAGCTAACGTTACTTAGCATTTTAGTGAAACGCACTGGTTCTACTTCCATAATGAAGACATGAGGAGAGCATATGGGATAAAAGCCCAGAAGCATCTTTCCTATATGCTCTGCACCTCCATGTGTGGCTGTAAAACAGGGATGAGGACGGTTAGCCTGGCTGCTTATGGGCCAAGCACTGTTTGGCAGCCACAGAGGTCGGCCATGTGTTAAGGGAGCAGGTTCCCCGCTCCTGACGTCTGAGACGCAGCACAGTCGAGACTATGAACAGCTTCTGGAAAAATTGTTTAAGAACATAGAGAATAAAAAGCTAAGAGGTCCTATGTCCCTTTCCCAGTGAGCCAGGAAAATAGAGGAGTTATTTTCTTCACCATCCACGACAAGATGATGCTTTCACTGAATCCCTACAGAAATACTCTAATGATTTTAAATATAAACATCATTTTAAGTAGCATCAGGCCGACTGAGAGCCTGGGAGACTTACCCCAATCTCTTTTAAATCTTTGTCTTGTAATAACTGAAGTGGGTCGATAAAAGTTTGCTTTACGTTAATGTCAAGAGAGTCTTTCACCTCAGCCATTAGCTTCATGGACTCACCGACTTCTATCAATGCGCTACCTTGAATACAAAACACAAATTTAAAATGAGGGTCTTTAGCAGAGTACCCGAGGTTAGCGGTGATATTTATTTAATTCTTTCCCCAACGTTTGTGGATGGCAGTGAAAAAAAAAGGGAATCACCCTGAGACTGCTGAATCCTGACTCAGAAAAGGAAAGAGGAAGAGAGAAAGAAAGTCTTATTTTCCTATGTTAACTGTACTCTGTCTGCTATAAAATAAAGGTCGGAGGCTCAGACAGACTGCAGCATTTACCATTTTGGCCACTAGATGGGGATAAAGCATTTTAAAAACTGGTTAACAGGTACAGCCAGCTTCTCGAAAGTCTGTGGTGCGCCCCCTCACTTTACCAGAGACCTACAATAATTAGTATCTGTTTTTGCTCACTGGAAGAAATCCAAAGAGGATTTTTTCTTTCACCGAAAAAAGAAAAAAAAAAAGGTGAAAAGTGAGAGTAACATTCAGCCCGTTTTGCAGGGAGCCATTAGGGGCAGTGCGTACCCCAAGTAGTGAGAACCTACTGCGTATAGCACTTCGGCATCAGCCCCCACCCCCAGCTTTGAGCTGCGTCTGTGAGCATCTGCGCTTTGGCTTGATTTTATTTTGTGCACACGTTAGCAAGATGTGTCCTAAGATGCCAGACAAGTCTCGAAAAGAGGCTATTTTTTGGAGTCTGGTAAAGCTCAAAACATTTTCCACGTAAATTAACGGCCATTTCTTCTTTGCTTTACACCATTTCGGTTTCCAAAAGGCTTGGTAGCAATGCTCTACTTTTAGAGAGCGGGGAAATCTGTAGTTTGGTGAACTGGCACCTAGGGTTCCTTAGAAGCTGGAGAACAAAACCCCTCTTTGTAAAAACTCTAAAAGGATTCATTCATCAGGGCTAAGTATCAGCCAATAAAGATTACAATAGAAAGAAGTGAACAAAACCTCTCGTCAGCTTCTAGCTCCTAGATCTTGAGGTCACTCCCCATAGCCTTTAGATGGTTCTGAGGCTCCGTGACAGGCTTAGATGTCAAAGAAAGCCTGGCACTGTCTCATGGGACAGCCCTTTAGCGGGATGGGCAAGGTTTGCTCTTGCGATGAGGCCCAAGCCAGCGGCGCTTGGACTTGGGGGCTGGGACAGGTGGGCTTTGTGGGATTGCACTCTGGTGTCTCCGTGCCAGCTGACCCGCCGTGATCCACGAGCAGGGGTCCTGATGGCTGAGCAGAACGAGAGCTGCCGTTTCTCTGAACGGCATCTCTGGGACGTGAGGCCCCGAACCAAACTGTTTTTCCTGTATTGGAGTTTTCCAAATTGACCTCATGAAACTGTAGAGTTTGGGGTCTCTCAGCTCCCAGGGAAATCATTCTGGGGTAAAGAGGAGACATTCCTTCCCAGCCCGGGGACTCTTTCCTGCCTAACGGGTCAGAAACCGAGGCTACTGGCTCTGCCCCTCTGCCACCAAGGCCACGCCCCACAGTGTCAAGTCCAGCTTCGACAGAAACGTTTCCAAATGTTCCTCTGAAGAGTCCAAACATCAGTTCTGAATCTCGGCGGTCACCCACATGGACCTGACCTTCCCTCCCCTTGCTCAGGCTTCAGGCTCTGGATTCCTTGCGGACATGGGGCTCGGGCCCCATCACTGAGGGCTCTGCATCTGAGGAAGAGTCCACCGTGGAAGCCCGGAAGGAAAGCATCAGACAGTACAGCTGCTTTCTAGAAACAGCGGGCAACCCATCTGTTCCAGAGGCCCTCCGACATCAGCTCTCTTCCTTAACCAAGTTCCCTGAAGCTGCTGGGGAGCTGGGAAGCTATCAGACTGTGTGCCCACCCAAGCCCCGGCCCAGTCGCCACGGCCAGGGTCCCGCAGGACCGCCGTGGCTGTGAGGGCCGCCCAGTCCCCTCACCGGTCCCCTCAGCTGGTCTGCCTTCAGGACAAGGAACAGGCCATCTTGTCCCCACTCATTCGGGTGGAATAAAATAAAACTCATATTCTACGGCTCTGACGGGTGTTGTTACCCCTACAGCTAATCAATGTTTTAGTATTGGGTTTAAGGTTTCAAGAGATTATTCCCCCAATTTCCTAGATCAATTCCTACAGTCAAGTATCTGAATTCTCAGTGCCCACACCCTGCCTTCTAACCACTACATGGATAGCAAAAGTGACTAATTTTCCTGGAAGACTAAATAGGTTCCATTCAGTTCAGCCCCAATTTATTAATTTAAAGAAATCTCAATCAAAAGTTAATGAGTTTTTTGTTTTTTGCAAAGGAAACTTACAATGACTCTAAATTTCATCTGAAATAAAAAGTTGAGTATATCCATGTTTTGTTTACAATAAGATAACAAAGGGAAATTTTAGTTTAAGTATATTAAAACAGACTTTAAAATTACAATTCTTAAAATATGATGCTGGAGCAAAGCAAGGTACAGACCAAGACGACAGAAAAAAAGGACCAGAAACAAACTTGAGATATAAACATTTAGTCTGTAACAAAACGTTTCTCTCCAATCAGAGGAGAAAGATTGAACTTTTCAATGGGGTATTAGGACAACTAGCTATTTACTTGGGAGAAAAAAAAATTAGAACCCTACTACAGTGTATGTGCCTGTTAAAAGCAGGAGCGTGGAAATTTAAAGGTAAGAAAAGGAAACGTGTTTCAAAAGAAAAGGATAAACAAAACATTTACACCATTTGTGGGGGTGGGTGGGGTGGAAACGTTTTTCTAAACAAAGTAACGAAAGCCATAAACCACAAAGACCCAGGAGTCCCACTATATGAAAACCAAAAATCATTCCGTTTTAGTTGCCTCCATCCACAAGGTCAGAAGGTAAATGCCTACCTGGGGCATAACTGCATTAAGATATAAGGCAGACCAAGAGCAAATATCCTAACCATTGAAAGAGCTCCTAAACTGGTAAGGGGGAAAAAATGAACACATTGATGAAAAAATAGGCAAAAGATACAAATATATATTTCATAAAAATGACAAATGGAAAGAAATCTACCTTACACATAATCCAAAAAGTGAAATTAAAGGAGCACTAAGAGATCAATTTTATATGCTGTGTATCAAAGTATCTGTGATTTATATGTAAACGAAAAATAATCCCCATAGTTAGGAACTGTGCTGGCAAACATACTCTCACACACTCCCGGCAAAGGTATCAAACTGGCATAACCCTTCTGGAGGGTCCGCTGGGAATATGCTTCAAAAATCTGAAAAACACAGGCATATTCTCAACCTAACAATTTCAGTACCAGGGATTTCAATTCAGGAACATAATCTTGGACATCCCCAGAGATTATAAAAATGGTGGTTATAAATACTATGTAAACTTTTTTACATAAAGAAAAAATATCTAAATATCCAATAGCCAGGGTAGACTGAATTAAGTCTGCCATGACACATCAGCTATTGTACAGCCTTTACAAACTTTCTGTGTCGTAGAAAGTTAATTATTTTGTGACACCATCATGATTCAGTCGATGGAAATAAACAGGTTTCAAAATGGTATAAAGGTAGAGATACCATAGCTCTCTATTTTAATTTTAATTCTGTAAAGGTGTGTGTGAATTTAGATGAGACTAAACAAAGGGTCTACCACCGGATACGAGATTGTGGGTGATGCTGGCATTTACTTCCTTGTATTTCACTAGCTTATATTACCTAAGCTTTTGGCAATGAACACGTATTATGTGATTAATATAAAAAATAATAATAATAAAGCTTGTTAACATGAAGGCATTATGGGACGCCTGGGTGGCTCAGTCGGTTGAGTGTCCAACTCCTGATTTCAGCTCAGGTCATGATCTCCCGGTTGGTGAGTTTGAGCCCCACATCGGGCTCTCTGCTGTCAGCATAGAGCCTGCTTGGATTTCTCTCTCTGCCCATCTGCCCTCCCTCATTCTCTACCCTTCCCCCTCCTTCCCTCCATCCTTACACACACACACAGCACTCCCTGGTGATCTGTGAACACTCACCAAAGGTGGACCCTTCCCCGAGCTCCTTCCCGTACTTCAGCATACAGTCGCCCAGCAAGCCTTCGGTCTGTGGGTACCCGGTGGTTTTCACCTGTCCTCGGATCTTCGACACAGTGTTCAGCATCCCTAGCTTAGCTCTGTATGCTTAAAAACATTGTCATTTGTAATTCCTTAAAATGACAAGGTGGAGAGACAGGTACATCGCATTTAACAACTGACGGCAAAATTGAGGTCACCCTGGTAGACAAAATGTGGGCTGCCTGGAGCATTCGAAAGGGATCTATGTGACCTATTTCATCTCTTATATGATTTTCTAGATTCTTTTTCTTCTCAGGGCAGGGCAGGTCCTCCGTCCCTAGGGAAAGGACAGGCGGCCACTGCTTCTGAACTTCTTTTCTCCAACTCAGGCCACCAAGGTTTACTGATCCGGGCTCTGTGTGACACACAATGCCAGCTCCTCTGGATCCAAAGACACCCAGGACAGCAGGTGCCCTAAGGGAGCCCAGAACTAGTTGCCAGGGGCAGGATACACGAGATGCACTGTGCAAATAGTGTGCTGTGACTGTGACAATTAGCTGAATAAAGACAGCAAGACGTCCCTACAAAGTGCAGAAATCATGTCAGTCATACGGAAGATGGGATGTTTATGGTACAGAACCAACAGATAAAGAGGAGGCTGGTCTGACCTTCACTGAAATTAAAATGGGATGAATCAGGGGGCGCCTGGGGGGCTGAGTCAGTAAGCATCCGACCTCGGCTCAGGTCTTGATCTCACAGTTCGTGAGTTCAAGCCCCACATCGGGGAAGCATGAGCCTGCTTCGGCTGAGCCCTGCTTCTCTCGCTCTTCCTCTCCCTGCCCCTCGCTCACTTGTGCTCGCCTCCCCCCCCACAAAAAAAAATAAAAAACAAAGCCAGGACGAATCAGGAGAGCTCTATGGGAAAATAGGACTATGAACTGAATACCAAGCTAAGAATTTGGGCTTTTATTCCAGGGGCTAGAGAGTGAAGCACATCCCAGCTTGCGCTGTTTGGGATAACTCCAGGAAGAGAAGAGGTACACTTTTGTTCTCTTTTACTATAATAAGCACATGTTTGTTGTTAATGCATTCTAGCCCAGTCAGTGCCTCCCAAACTCTGAAGTGCATACAGATCACCCACGGATCCTGTGAAAACGCGAAGTCTGATTCAGTCCGTTTGGGATGGGCCCAAGATTCCGCGTTTCCACAGCCTCTGGGGTTGGGTGGGCTCTGCGGGTCCGTGGACCACACTTCGAGCGGCGAGGCTCCGGACACGCCCGGGGCCAGCCGTTCCGCATCCTGCCCGCCTCCGCTGGTCCCTGTGCACAGAGGCTGTGCTCTGCTTCAAGGCCCGCTCGGGCTCCCAGCTCTTCCTTCCCACGGTCAGGAGAAGGCGCAGGGGGCCTGCGAGGTGGCCGGCACGTGACTGACACCCACCACCCTGGAAACAGTGTGGCCTTGCCGACTCCTGCCCCCTTCCAATGTCGGCTCTTTGAGGGCGGGCTCTGGGTCCAGGGATCCAGCAGAGCCCCTGTGCGAAGTCAGTACTCGCTAAATACGTGCTGATGGACTTATCAGGAAAAGGAACTTACGTAGCTCATCTCAATCACTGAGGCCAGGGAAGAGATGCACGGTTATGGCTCTTAAAATTATAATCCTCTATACAGTTCTAAAGAATTCTATACCCGCCAGCCTCTCTGGATGTGATTTTGATAAAAATTATGTTTCTAAACTTTTCCTGTCTAGGTTTTCAGATGGTTGGGTCGGTGGGGGATTCCTATAGCCCGAAGGAGTCACAGTAACTCCAGGCAAGTAATACATTCCTAAAAAGGAAAGGCAGTTTCGGAAATTTGCAGAATTCGAGGCTTGGGTGCCCTGCCCCCTGTTGGTTTCTGTAATTTACAACCCAGGAAAAACCCATCAAGGGATCCTGCTTCACGACCACGGAATTAAGAACCTTCTGTCAAGAAGCTGATGTAACACAGGACCTTTCCGTGCCTCGTTTCTTTAGCATCTGAGCTACAAAGTGAAAGCGATTTCACTCTTAGAGCAGGATGGCAGAATTTTTTTCTAAAAGGGGAGATGCCTGAGTAAGAAAACATATATAACACGTTTAGCGGGTTTCTGAAGCATCTCCTAAAATATGTCTTTATTTAGCAGTGGCTTGCTGCTAAGACCAAGCTTCCATGCAAATGATGTCACCACAGATCATGGGATTATCCGCTCTGTTTCTCATCAGCTAGGACTCCCTGAAACTACCTTCGGTCACTGGAGGCTTGACTCTGAAAAACTGAAATTCATAATTTGGACACAGATGACAATGTTCCTAAGTCACATCAGCCATATGCCAAGTAAACATGGGTTGTTGGTCTATGACAGTGGAGACAATAGAATATGTCAAGACATTTTCTAACTTTACCTGGATTTGGTTGAAGATATTCTGTGGCTTTCGATAGAATTTCTGCAACAGCTTTATTGGTAACATCTATTTTCTTTAAAAAAAAAAAAAAAGACACACACACACAAACATAAAAATGTTGGTAAATGACAATGAATTCACAGAAAAACAGAGAAGTAATATGCATTAATTTAATACTTATTTTTTTTTAATATTTTTTTATTTATTTCTAGGAGAGAGAGAGAGAGACAGCGTGAGCAGGGGAGGGTCAGAGAGAGAGGGAGACACAGAATCTGAAACAGGCTCCAGGCTCTGAGCTGGCAGTCAGCACAGAGCCCGACGCAGGGCTCGAACCCACGAACCGCGAGATCATGACCTAAGCGAAAGTCGGACGCTTAACCGACTAAGCCACCCAGGCGCCCCTAATTTAATACTTATAACACTATTAATAGATTTTCATTCAAGTGAACTTCAACGTTTTGGGGGAGAACGATATTTTCTCATTCTTATTTCGGGACAGCTCTCCCTCCCCATGACGTTGGAGAACATTCATCTCAGTTTCTTTTTCACATAAAATGAGTCGTCATGTATTATTTACAAAACTCAGACAAGTTCGTTTGCTCCACCAGATGACTGGACATGCCTGAAGGTGTCTGCAGCTGGCACCAGCACGTCTCAGCCAAACCTTCCTTATCTGCTGGGTGAACTTGAGTGTCTGTGCATATAAGGACTCCCTAACAAGGATTCGCAGTAGAAATGACCACGGTACATCAACGACGAAAGAACCATCCCCACTAGCATTACCACTAGCAATAAACACCCACGTGTTCTGTGGGCAGAAGATGTGAATAGCCAAGGTTTTCCATGCTGAGACTGAATCCTTCCTTCCACAAAACCATTTCTGGACACTGGCTACAGATTAGCCAGACACCGAATGTGAGAATATAAGATAAAGTTAAATAGGCACATTTCAATAGCTTCATTGCATACCCTCAACCGCCTGAAAGAAAATATAAAGGAAAAGGAGATCCCATTCATAAGAGCAATGTAAAAATACACAATAATAAGGAAATAAATATAAGGAGAAATGTACAACCTCTTTCTGAAAAGCCATGTTCCTACATGGGAAAGTTTAATTGTGCAAAGACGTAAGTCCTCCCCCATATTAACACGTAAAATTGATTCAAATCTTATGTTAATTTTCATTTTTTCTTTTTTTGTGGTTACAATTTGGCAAACTAATATTAAACTTGGGTTCATGCCTCATGCTATATACTGGCTTAAACACAGACCTAAAAATTTATAAAGGAGCTAAATTACACAGGAAAATATTTTTAAATACGGGGGTGGGAAGAATCTTCTAAGCATGATACAAAACCCAAAATTCTTTTCTTTAATTTTCTCTAATGTTTTTTATTTATTTCTGTAAGAGAGAAAGGCAGCATGAGCAGGGGAGGATCAGAGAGAGAGGGAGACACAGAATCTGAAGCAGGTTCCAGAATCTGAGCTGTCAGCACAGAGCCCGATGCAAGACTTGAACTCATGAGCCATGAGATCATGACCTGAGCTGAAGTCGGACGCTTAACCAACTGAGCCCCCCAGGCGCCCCCCAAAACTCTGACCCTATAAAATTAAAGACTGAACAGTGAATAGATGTAATAACATCAAGTTCGACGAAAATGGTAAAACGAAAGAGAAAGGAAACTGTCGAAAGGACCCGTGCTTGGCATCCGTTATACTCAAAACTCCCATTTAAGAAAGAAAAGAAAGAAACAAACAAATAAAACCACCCAGTAGGAAAGAGGGAAAAGGACATAAAATGGCAAGAAAACAAATGGAAAAATACAAGTTCAAACAGCTGACAAAATATTCGAAAAGATTATAAATCAAAAAGGAGATACTTCCCACTCACCAGATTGACAAAAAAAGGTTTTTTCAATTAACCCAATATTAGGTGTCAACCAGGTGTGGAGGAATGGGCACTTTCACACACTGGGAGTGCAAAACAGATCAAGGGACAAGAACCTATTCGTGGGCATACTGGTGTGCCTGTAATCAGACCTCCGGGGACCCAGTGTCTGGAAACACACCAGCCAATTACAATGACATGAAAGGATGTCAGGCCATTTTATGTCATATTAAAAACTGAAACCAGGGTGCCTGAGTGGCTCAGTCAATTGAGCGTCCAACTTTGGCTCAAGCCATAATCTCACGGTTTGTGGGTTCGAGCCCCACGTCTGGTTCTGTGCAGACGGCTCAGCGCCTGGAGCTGCTTCAGTGTGTCTCTGCCTCTGTCTGCCCCTCCCCCATTTATACTGTGTCTCTCTCTGTCTCTGAAAAATGAATAAATGTTAAAGAAAAAGTTTTTTACACCTGAAACCAACTTGAATTATAAGCAATAAGAGAGTGCCTGGATAAACTGTGAGACATTCAAATAAAGAAATTCTGTTTAATCACAAGACCAAAAAAAGGAAAAAGAAAAAAAAAAGCTCCGTATGTACTGGGAGGCCCACAGCACATTGTCAAGGAAAGAAAGCAAGTTGTAGGGTGATTTATAAGAAATTCATTTTTGTAATTCAAAAATCTATGATCTGGTCAGGGTCAGAAGCTTCCAACCAAGCGAACTCAGCCAGCCTGAAAGTGAATTTGTTCCCGTTAGCTGAGCACCTACATTTGGGGCCCCAGGAAGGTTTAAAACGACAGCACGTAAATGATGAAGCAATGGGGGCGCCTGGGTGGCTCAGTCGGTTGGGTGTCCGACTTCGGCTCAGGTCATAATCTTATGGTTCGTGGGTTCGAGCCCCGCGTCGGGCTCTGTGCTGACAGCTCAGAGCCTGGAGCCTGCTTAGGATTCTGTGTTGCCCTCTCTCTCTGACCCTCCCCTGCTCATGCTGTCTCTATCTCTCTGTCAGAAATAAATAAAAAACATTAAAAATTTTTAAAAATGATGAAGCAATGAATCACACTTGTATTACTGATGTGCATGGTGCCCGCTGTGTGCATGAGACACGTGTGCATACGTGCACCTGGCCTTGTAGCGAGTTCTGTTAAGCTTTGAACTTTCTTCAGTATGTTCAATTGTTTATGAAGATTTTTGAAATGTTCAAGAGAATATGATCACCTAAATGTTTGTTTTATTAGCATCTCAAAAAATTTAAGTGCTTAGCATCTCAAGAAATTTAAGTGCTTTGCAAAACGCTTTTCTAAATTCGATGTGACATTGGAGCGAATTCCATGCATTGCATTTGTGATTCTAATTTGAAATGTCTAAGAGAATTTGCTTAATTATGTAACGAGATAAATGTTTAAGGATTTAATCTGTTAAGCCTATGACTTAATGGAAACTAAAACGAAGAATAACTGAAAACGATTTCTATGTTGAAATTACTAAATTTATAAATAAGATTCGTAGGTTCAGCTTATGCTTAAGAAAAACTAGGTTTTAGATTTATAACTTTCAGAAATTCGATATTAATTAAGTGTTCCTTTCCATATTTCTAACACTCTTTGGACATGAAAAGCAACCAGGAAGCCAAGCAGCCATTTCTGAAGGGTGATGATGAGATCGGGGGCAGGGGTACCTTCTACCTTAGATCCTTCTCTCTTTGGGGGCAAAAAAAAAAAAAAAAAAGCCAAGGAACAAACGGCCGAAAACTAACAGCCTGACGTGACTGTCCTGGAACAGCTTCCGGGACAGCCCAGCAATCAAAACTGCGAATGAGCCCTTTACAAAATAAAGAGGATGCCCACTAACCACCTTGGCAAATACAGGCAAGCAAGGTGAACGCTGGGGGAAAACATCCATGTGGTTTAAAAATAAATAAGTTAATAAAACAAAACCTCCCTCCCAGAATAACTGAGAATGTCAGGGGTGGGGACCGTTCAAGCTGACGAAAACGCCACACACCGGCTTCCGCAAGCCACCAGGACAAACAGGTGTGAGTACGCAGGTACAAACTGTTTTTGTGAAGTCTACCTGCTGTGAATGCATCTTTGTTGGTTGATTAAATCTGGAATTTCCTTCAAATGTTGGTGACCCAAAGCCAGTGCCACCTCAGTCTCAGCTAGAGAGCTCCTAGCAATGCTACTTCATTTTTAAATTTTTTAAAAAAGAATCCATACCTGTCATTATCTCCTCTCTACTCCTTATGTAATATATTTGTGCTCTCTTGTTCACACTTGGAAGAAGTAGCTTTTTGAAAAAAAAAATACTGCCTGGTTTTATTTACAGATTCTACCTTTTTGTTGTTATTGTTTCCTATTATTATTTATCTCTATGGATTCCTTCCTTCCAGCTAGAGTGATTTAATTTGCTATTATTTTCCTAGCCTCCTGGCTTATATGCTTTATTCATTTAACATTTATTTTCTATTAAATGTATGAAAGATGTAGTCATATACCACAGGTTCTAACATAACAGAATTTGGTCTCTCATGACTAAATGAACTTTGATTTTACTTGTCATTTCCATTTCAGCTAGGAATAATTTTCACATGTTTTTAAATTTCCAAACACTCCTCACTGGGAAAGTATACCTTCCTTGTAATCCTTATGTGCTATGATTTCATACTGAGAATTTTTTTTAGTTTTTTTCTGGAGCCTAATATATAACTGACTATTTAATTGCTCTAAAGGGACTTACAAAGATTCTCATTTTGAAGAATGCAGAGATCTGCATCTATTTATAAACAAAGTTATTAATCATATTTTATACTAATCATCTATGAGCCAATCTACTATTGTCTACTTATTGTTATTTTATGAGAGGTATGTGAAATTTTTTACTCTGGACTCTGTCAATTTTCCGTGTATTTCTGACAACTTTTACCTTACGTACTTAGATGCCATGTTATATGGTGCATAATGATTCATAACCGTTACAATTTCCCAACAGACTGCATGATTGCATCTTTTTAATAATTTTTTACAACTTTTCCCGCTTAGTGTTTTCTGCATCAAATTTTACTTTGACATTATTATTGGCCTTCTACTTCTGTGTGGTTAGGATTTGTCATGGAATATCTCCATTCCTTTGGCATTTCTGTGTCATATTTTAGGTGGATCTGAAAGCATCTAATTCATCTCTTCCAAAAAGTCCTTAAAACTTTTGGTCACATATTAGATATTTCCAGGCTTTTCACTGCTGTAAGAAAATACATAGATTTTATTTTTATACTTCTTCTGTCATTCATTGGGGTTTTAAGAGGGAAAGGAAGTAAACAAGAGTGATCTCAATCCATCAACTGAAATTGCTAAAATGTGGTTATAAGTTTAACATTTAAATTGAATCATTTTGTTAGTAATAAAGTTACATATAATATCTTTATATGCCAAGGGATTTTTAAAAGTCATTTCAGGTATGTCAACGATGCTAAACTATTTCTGTTTTTCAATTTTCAGAAATTAAGTTTTCTCAAAAGCAAAACAAAATATGTTTTGCCCTCTCAAGGTGCTAACATTTCTAGAAACTTGACAGTGCTCACCCAGAAAGTAAGGAGCTCCCTGGGAGACAGTCTGGCCAGGACCAGGCATGCTGAAAATAGGAACCTCCCAAGTCACAACCTCCCCTGCACCTGCTGACAGCTCTATAACCTGCAACATCCTATATCCCTGATGTTACACTTGAAGGTAGAGTCTCTGCCCTCTCTCATCTGGAAAGTCTAATTATTTTTTAATAGTTTATTGTCAAGTTGGTTTCCATACAATACCCAGTGCTCATCCCCACAAGTGCCCTCCTCCATGCCCATCACCCTGGGGAGTCTAATTATTACAAGGCTACGTTTAAAGGGCCCAAGACAAAGGGGAGGGAAAGAGAGGAAGCTGGGAACTATTAGTGGTCCCAGTTTTACCTCCACCTGACCTATTCCACACAGCTGACCTGGAAACAGGTTAAGGGGCACAGATTCTATAGTCTTCCTTTGGCACATGTTACAATCATTTCTGTAACAACCTCATCATATTTCCTAAGTGCCTTCATATCCATTAATTTTTGGCATAATTATCCCAACATCCATGTGAGGCAAGCAGAGCACACGTATCCACCTTGTGTCACTGGTCAGAAAAGAGGAAAAAGCTCATCCAAGTTCACACTGCTGGTTCTCAGAACCCAGATCAATGTTATTTGCTACACAGCTACTGCAACACGTGGGAGCAGAGTCAGAGTCTTCCACATGGTGTTATCAGCCTTTATGTATTTGAATGGTCTCATTCCAGAAATACATTTTGATTTTCCAGAATAGATACTCACAATTAGTTTGGTTTTTCCTTGCAATGATGGTTTGCCAAAATTGACCGTCTTTTGAGCATTCTGACTTTTGTCCACTAGAGGGCACCAACTAGCCATATCCCACCTCCACGTCAGTAGGCCTTTATATCCCTGGTTGCCACTCTAATATCCTTTATGATATCAGAACATCTCATATCACAGTGAAAACCAAATATGTAATACAAGTGACATTAACATGCTCTCTTACCCTCTCCATGTCAAGAAATTCGTCATCGAGTTTCGTTCCTTCAACGCCACTTATTTTTTCACTAAACAGCTGCAGAAATAAACACAAGTAATTGCATTGTACGATAATTTGTTACCATAATTTGACTCAAATTATTACAAACAAAACCAAAGCAGCTCACATTCAGCTCAATGCATTTTTTTTACCAAGTCCTTTTAAGAAAATTGTTGGAAACAGTAACCCTATCAAAAGACATGGGAAGATACACAATTTTCACCTGCTCGATATTAATTATGCACCTACTGTATGTAAAGCACGTGGTAGGTGCTCTAGTAGAAACACAGATAAATAAGATCCTTATCATCCAGGAATCCAGAGCGCAGCAGAAGAGTTAATACACACACGCTCAATTATAATACAAGAGAGGAAAAATATGAACAAAACAGTGCTGGATACAAATTACTGTCAACACACCAAGTAACAGACATTTCAGTGATTCACAGAAATGATTCCGAGAGCCTACAGTGGGAGGGAGGAGGAGAGACATCCAGGACCGGTTTCTTACAAGGCTTGGCATCTGGGCTGCCCATTTAAGGATGAGGGACATTTCCACAGGCAACACTGAAGGAGCCTTGCTTACAGCCTGAGGCCGCCTGGAAAAACACCCAGAGACAGCAGCGTGTAGGATGGGGTGCCGCCATCTTGTCACTCTGATATTTAGACTCAATAATCCTTGGCTGTGGGAGCCTGTCCTGTGCACCGCAGGACATTTAACATCATCCCTGGCCTCCACCGACCAAATGCCAGTACTGCACAGGCACCCACGCAGTGACAGCCACGAAATGTATCTGGATGGTTAAGAATCACTGTGGAGGGCAAATGTGTTCAAGGAACAGCAAGAAATCTGCTTTAACTATAATGAACAGTGATCAAGGGAGAATGGGGAAAAATAAAAGCGGAAAGGGAAAGAGGCCAGATCACACAAATTCCGAAATGCCAAGCTAAGAGGTATGGCTGGGATGTCCCTAAAGACCCTTTATCAAACACAGTGTAGAGAAACTTCCAGCAAAGCAAGTCTGGCTCCAGAGCGGCTTGCATTAGGGAACAAGGAAGAGGACTGGAAGTAGAAAATAAGTCAAATCATGTTCTTTAGAAAATCACATCAACATAATTTGTTTATACGTTTAAAATACTTAACATGAATGTAAAAATCAGTGGGAAGCGGGGTGGTTAGCATCAACTGATTGTAAAAAAAAAAAACTGCAGGTTCTTTTAAATGTAAGTGTGACTTTCTGCTGCTATGTCCACAACTATCGTGAACACAGAACTACAATTTAATAGGAGGAATCCAGGGGCAGACCATATATAACTTAAATTTGAGGCACAAGAGGGAATTACTTGGGAGAGAGTAGATGGAGGAGATGACAAAAGTGGTCATGATTCTTTATCTTCCATTGCTGTGTCTCTGTAGTTCCCCCGGCCAGAGCAGGAGTCTGTCTACCCCCGCGTGATTCTGGGCTGCTCTTGACACTTGTTTCGACCACAGACAGAAGCCCAGGCCTTAGCAGAGCTTGAAACCCTGCTGCCCCCAAGTGAAATCCCGCCTGGGCTGATTTGCTGGGTGGTGAGAGACAAGTAGCCCAAACACCCCGCGTCAGGACACCCAGTCATTTCCCAGGATCAGGGCCCCTGGTTGACCCGCACGGGGCTGCCGGCACATAGGAAAGCCCAGCCGAGACCAGCCTAATCCACTCATCCACAGAAACATGAGTCAAATAAATGGTGGTTGTTCGACACTAAACATTGGAATGCTTTGTTACTCAACAGAAGCTAGTTGATACACTAGCAACAGTTCTGGTTTGTCAGGCTCCAAAGAGAAGTCAGAGAGGACTGTGCTGATGCCTCAATACAAGGTATAACCGGGGCACCTGGGTGGCTCAGGCAGTTGAGCATCCGACTTCGGCTTGGGTCATGATCTCGTAGTTTGTGGGTTCATGCCCCATGTCGGGTCTGTGCTTGACAGCCCAGAGCCTGAAGCCTGCTTCCAATTCTGTGTCTCCATCTCTCTCTCTGCCCCTCCCCCACTTACTCTCTGTCTCTGTCTTTCAAAAATAAACATTCCCCCCCCCAAAAAAAAAATACAAGGTATAACCTTCAACAGGAACAACTGGGAATCCCATTGCTATACACCGAGGTCTTTACATGGAAGTATCCATCAGTTAGATCCCCCAAAAATCTTTTTGTTCAGTAGTGAAATCATTTTTTAAATGTTTATTTATTTTTTGAAAGAGAGACAGAGACAGATTGAATATGAGCAGGGGAGGGGAAAAGAGGGAGACACAGAACCTCCGAGCTGTCAGCACAGAGCCCGACACTGGGCTCAAACTCACAAACTGTGAGATCACGACCTGAGCCAAAGTCGGACGCTCAACCGACTAAGCCACCCACACGCCCCAGTAGTGAAATAATTTAAAATACTGGTTCTTAATTTTGGAGGTGATATTCTGAGAAGCTAATGAAAGTTACGCAACTGCACCCCAGGAAAAACACTCATTTTGCCGGGTGGTAAATTGCAGAACTGGCCACAGTGCCCTGCAGCCCCTCCCACTGAGACATGCAGGCTATTTTTCTCCCCAGGGACTGGCCTTGATCGATAGAACAGAATGCAAACAACACTGTGAGAACACGAGTTCAGGTCTCATAGTTTATAGCTATAAAGGATCTGTGTAGACACCTCAGCCTCTGAGGTCCACTGTGACCATCCCCACATGAATAAGCCTGAGCCACCACGTTGGAGAATGAAAGCCCACTCAGGGAAGAGAGGAGCCTTCCAGTGAGTCATCTCAGAACACCAGGCCCCCAGCTCACGGGGCAGCTCACTACTGACAGATGAATCAGCACGTGAGACATCGAGGCCAGCAGCCTAGTGGGCCCGGCCCAGTGTACAAACCCACAAAACTGTGAATCAGTGGTTTCGATTATAAGTCATTATGTTTTAAAGTGGTTGTTATATAGCAAAGAAATTGATTCGGTTGCCTATGATTTCCAAGGGCTACTGTAACCCTGTGCAGAAGCCCATGTCTAGATCCGTGTTTTATTTTTTATTTTTTTTTTAAAAAATTTAATGTTTTATTTATTTTTGAGAGAGAGAGACAGCATGAACAGGGGAGGGCCAGAGAGAGGGAGACACAGAATCTGAAGCAGCTCCAGACTCTGAGGTCAGCACAGAGCCCAATGCGGGGCTTGAATCCACGAACTGTGAGATCATGACCTAAGCCTAAGTCGGCCACTCAACCGGCTGAGCCACCCAGGCACCCCTAGGTCCCTGTTTTAAAATACCCATTTGGAAGTGGCACCTAGATGGTTCAGTCAGTTATAGTTATCTACCCAAGAGCAGAGCTTCAAAAAAATTAATAATAATGCAGAAACTGAAAGAATACACTGAAATCCACAATCATAGCAAGAGATTTCAACACAACTCTACCAGAAAATGGACAGATCAGAGGCGCCTGGTGGCTCAGTAGGTTGAGTGTCTGATTTTGGCTCAGGTCATCATCTCTAGGTTCAGGGGTTTGAGCCCCGCATCGAACTCTGTGCTGACAACTCAGAGCCTGAAGCCTATCTGGGATTCTGTGTCTCCCTCTCTCTGCCCCTCCCCTGCTTACGCTCTATCTCTGTCCCTCAAAAAATAAACATTTAAAAAAATTTTTAATTAAGAAAAATGATTCACTAAGTCACAAAATCAATCAACACCATATAGAACATTTTTTGAAATTTTACTATCATGTAATTAAATTTGAAATCGACAATGAAAATGAGTATGTAGACAAAATTTTAGAATCTGGCCCTAAACAATGAATTTGAAAGGAAACCCAGGGGTGCCTCGGTGGCTCAGCCTATTAAGCATCTGACTCTTGATCTCAGCTCAGGTGTTTATCTCTGGGTTGCAAATTCAAGCCCTGAATTGGGCAGTGTGTGGGTGTAGAGCCTACCTTAAAAAGGGCGGGGGGGGGGGCACCTGGGGAGTTCAGTCTGTTCAGTCTGTTGGGCAACTGACTCTGGCTCAGGTCATGATCTCATGGTTTCCGAGTCTGAGCCCCACACGGGGCTCTGTGCTGACAGCACAGAGCCTGGAGCCGCTTTGGATTCTCTGTCTCCCTCTCTCTCAGCCCTTCCCCTGCTCATGCTCTTCTCTCTCAAAAATAAATAAACATTAAAAAACAAAGAAAGCACTAAAAGAAATTAACAAAAACTTTTTAACTTAAGCAACGAAAATCGTATCCATCAAAACCTGTATGGGATGCAGCAAACATAGGATTTAGAAATCCGTGCATTACTTTAAATTCATTAAAACGAAAAACCACTTCAACGTAACATTGCAAACTGACACAATGCCATTCCATCTAATTCAACAAATATCTGAAAGTCCACCGACTACATCCACCTGGTAGAGAGACAAAGGCCACTCTACAGGCCGGACGCTCCTGGGCCGCTGAGGAAAGGAGGCCGATGGCCAGAACACAATGACACAAGTACTCTCCCTCAACACGGTTGTGGAGTTTGCTATAACAACTCAGACGGAGGAAGCAAATTATATGGATGAGAAGGCGCCAAGAACGCTCCAGAACAGAGCCTCGAAGGATATACGGGGTGCACCACCAGAGACCAGAGGCAGAGAGGAGAGCATAAGCTCAGTCGTGTTATTTAAAACGACACAAGAGCACTGAGGACAGAGCGCGGCCATCAGCAAGGGTAACTGATATGGAAGACTGGCCCCAAGTGAACATGAACACACGAGCACAGGCAGCGGCGGCTCCCAAGCAGGTGAGTGGTACGGTCAGGTCTGCCCTCCATCCAGGAAGATCACCCCAGGGGCCCGCAGGAGCAGGGCACCAGAGAGCCACCAGAGGGTGGACGGGGGGGTCCCTTAGGGGATTACAAGGGATGGCCCGCATGAAGAGGTGGACAAGGCAGACTACAGAGAGGAGGGTCAGAAGCGTACCCTGAAATTCTCCCAACCACCTTCTTCGACTTGTAACACCAACTGCCCTTGCCTGTCCAGCTTCCCCGTCACAAACGTCACGTCAGAC